ATGATGTCAAATAAATCATATATTTCAAATTAAAAGTCGTATACCTTTGGGCATTTATCAAATTTACCACAACGCAAGGCATTGGCAATTAAATTAAATTATCGTCCGTAATTGTTAGGAAAATAAAGAAGTACATTTTAATGGCGCTGGATTATTGCCGTTTATTTATTATTTAATTGGTTTCGTATTATTTACTTATACCGCTTTTTATCCTGCAGACTTGGTCCCTTAAAGTCGTTAAAATCGTTCAAATTGAGGCATATGCAATTAGAATGGCCAACTGCCGTGAACATTACTCACCCACACACACACACACACACACACACACCGACAAATGAGTCCTTACGCCGGAGTTTCATCAGTTTCCGGCGGAGTGCGAGTGCAAATGAAGCTCGTGCAGCTCACTTAAAATGCCTCACAGCGTAAATTACGCGTATAAAATGAACATTAGATTCATATTTTTATACCTCAGCCTGGATGTGTATGTGTGTGTGTGTGTGTGTGTTTCGGAGGTGCACACCCACACACATGCCGTCGGTACACAAGAGGGCATAAATAAAAGGCAGAAACTCCTCGCACAAACACACATCCTTCCCGTGAATGCCAACAGCAGAGTCGCAAAAAGGTTTTCTGCCAAATAACCTGCAGCTATTTGAAGCACAAACAGACTCACACTCACACACCCACACCCACAAAGGAGCTCACACATACACACACAGATGCCTACGAGCTTATTTCCATTACAAATGAGCTTATTATGCGCTCAAGTCACAAAGTCATTGCGACTTAAAAGGATTTGCATGTGATTAGCAGTACGAAATGTAAACAAAACTCGAGTGCCAAAAGACAAAAACAATGTAGGGAGTCGTACAAATGAGCGAGATTACAAGGAACGACGGCTTGATACTCATTGTTTCGCAATTGACACAAAATTATCGCAGTGTATAAGAAGTAGGAACAGCTGGTTGATGCTGATGATAAATTAAAGCAATTTTATAACATGTTTCAATAGTTTGAACGACCTGCAATGCGATTAGATTTTAAACTATTTAAACTACTAAGTTGAGATGCCTACATATACATTAAAACACGTTTTCGAAATATTCTCACCTTTTTCTTCTTAAATATTTATTTATTTGATGCTCGTAATAGGTTATACTTCCTTGAAATACAGGATGTGGAGGGCAAAAGCCAAGACGATTTGTAAGCACTTTGCCAAGTACATGTTACACTTGTGTCTGTGATGAAACGTACGCATGTATGGAGTATGTGTGAAATTGCCGGAAGCTGAAAAGCGGGCCGCATAAAAACAATGAACACATCATAATCATAATTTTTGTGGCCTAATTTCAGGGGCCAGTGAATTAGAGACGAAAGGCGCTGGGTGCCTTCATTTTTCGATGCATTAAATGGCCAGCAGAGGGCGCTCTAGCCTTGGCCCCTCCTTGCCTAATTTTGTGCTTTTTTCTTTTTTTTTTGAAAATTCTATCCATTTCGATGACAGCGGATGGAAAAAGAAGAAAATTCGGAGCCGGGAACAAGGTCTTTGCGCCTCGATTACCTTGCATAATGGGCGACGTCTTCTTTTGCATAAGCGCCGAGAATTTGCACAAGAGACGATGGCAAATAGAAAAGCACTTATTCGCCATTTTAGAGGGGGTAGTAAGATGGGGCGGTTGGGGCGGCGGGGCTGTCAAGGCTGTGTAATTGAAGCCGACCTGAAAGTGTTGCCCCGGCTTAGTGACGAAAGAAAAAGTGGGGAGACGCTGGCCCTGCAAAAGAAAATATCGATTATCTGGCGACAGGAAAGGCTTCGCTTCGCCTGAATAAAATATGCACTTCTTTTCGGAACCAGCTTTCCTTCATGTTTTCAATCACATTTTGAAGCAGCACAAATACTTAGGTATTATCTATACATAATATACCCCCATCTAGCATGTTTGCCGACCGAATTATAATGACGTCAAATGGAAGCAATGACTTGCACTGGCCCAACCCCGAAAATAGGGAAAAGCCGGCAAGTCAGGAGTGAAAGACCAAGGAAATTATGCCAGGCGGACCATGAATGGGACGATAGAACGACTCGGGGCGAGTCTATTGAAATGGAAGATGGAAGGCACAAACGAGCAGACTCTAAGTTTAGCTAAAAACCGGATAAATAAATAAACATAGCAATGCATGTATTGAAAAAAGAGATTTGGGAAATTGTTGTGCTTTTGAATAAATAAATCGCAGAGCAAATAAAGGTGAATGGCAAACAGAGAGCAGACAACAATGAGCCATGATGCCGCCCAAGTACGCATAAGTGGGCTGCTGCTGCAGGATTCCAGGATTCTCCACTCGACTCCACTTCCGAGTACTTGGCCAAGTTTAAGCTGCACACACACACACACGCAAGCGACACTTGTCTGCTTTAAAACTGGCTAAAAAAGTGGGCCAACCCGTTGGGTGGAGGGAGCTGGATCCTGGAGCCAGGAGCTGGCAGCACCAGCTCGTCAGCCAAATTAAGGATGTACAGCACGTGTGCTTAGCCCGCTGGCTATTAAGCGACACTCCGGAACGGGAGAGGGGGAGGGGGAGTAAACTGTGCATAAAACTCAATCAAGTCGAGACAACAACCAGCACACATCAATGGCCTTTACATACTTGTCCGCCCTGCACTCGCAGAAAAGTCCACCCACTCGTTATGATAATATTTGTAAGCGATCTTCAGTCAAAACTATGATGTCTAAAATATTAACAACTTAGGAATTTTCTTTAATATACTACTTAATTATTATTATTATTATAAATTTAAAGTATAGTATTTAGGTGAACGAATGTAGTGCTATATATTTCTGTTGCAGCACATAAAACAGTTCGTGTTTTCCAATACGACAAGTGTAATTTTCCCGAAGTGTGCCTGCCATTGTCCCTGCAGGCATGTCAGGCTCTAATGCAAACTCTGACACGCTCCCAAGCCCCCAGCTGCACACGGCAGCTCCTGGAGAGGATCCTGGTGTGGGAACCAACGGGCATGACTGTCGCACAAGCCAGAATCCAATGTTTTGGCAACAAGGCACCAGAAAAAGGCCAAGCAACTCCCCCATATTTTGGCCTTTTGCTGCTCAGGGCCTTTGTGAGTTACCCGGAGAAAGTCAAATAACTTAGGCAAATCCGGAAAGGCCAAAAGAGTTTTCTCTCATCTTCGCTGTCAGGATGTGCCCCCCAGCTAGTGATTTCCCGTCCAAGAGGAGCTCAAGCCTGCCATAAGGAGATCTGCGATCTAAAGGAAGCCCTACCTGATATTCTTATTTGATAAGTTTTAATTGTTACTCTAGTAATAGAGGCAATCGTATCCCCAAGCTATGGATCAGTTCCAAAGAAAAATGTTTTCATTTCATATTAATTTGAGTTTAATCTATCATGATCTATCTTTAAATCTGTACACTTAGTTAGATATCAAAAACGTCTATTTGTAATGGAGGTTTATCTTTCTTTACCTTCAAAATTTATTTCAGAATATTTGTTTATTTAAAAGAGTATATATGAAAAGTACTAAATGCCTATCGACTGACGCCCCTTTCAGCGTAGACTATTCCCTTCACTGCATTCATGGCCATGAAATTTCTGGAGATGGCTTCTCCCTGGACGAAGACAATGCAGTTAATCGGAGGAGCAAGAGGCAGGACTCGGGATATCCATTGCCAGTCGGAGGGACATGTGAGCCCTCTTTTGTTAGCTGAAATTGAAAATCCTTTGTTCACCCACTAAGCGCTTTTTAATTAGATTTCAAGCACGCCTGAATTGGTGTCCTGCGAATCGGACACAAGGATCTCCCAGTAGATGCATTGCCCATGCTCCTGCCTATCGTTCAGCCTTTGACCAGATTAAAGTTTCTAGGGCATTATTCAACAACTGCTGCTTAGCCCAAAGAAAAATCAACAATTGTAAATCATTTCAACAAATGTCGACCACGTGATTTCCGGTGGCACGTGCTCAAGCTTCAAGACGCCCCAGCTTCCGGTTCCGCCAACAGCTGCCGAAGCAGAAATTATTGGCAAAGCGTTTAAGCGCAATAAATATGTTTGATTGCTGGCAAGTTGCCCAAAAGATGTATATCTAAAGATAAATATATACGTGAAGCTGGGCGGGAATCGCAGCCTCCCGGCATCCTGCGATCCTTTTTCGCCCACACCACCATCTCCGGGCACAGCAAATTTGTAATTCATTTAAACGCGCAACTAAACCGCTTCAAGCTGTTTGCTCTGCACTTTTTAATAGTCGCGGATTGTACTCCGTACTGAGTTCACTGCGACAAATGAAGTGTATTTGAAAGGTATTTAATAAAAAAAAGCGTTCATGTTCTTGTTTTTAAGTAGTAACTATACACCAAGTATTATATATTTGTGTTTTGTATTATATGTATCTTCGTTAATTCAGCTCTAAGCTTTCGTCGGTTTTAAGTTATATCTACCTTTTATTTCGTCTAAATGTTTAAAGTTCAGTTTAAATGTAAGTTAGTTTGGGCAAAGGAACTACGCAGTTTTGTTTGCAGTGCAGTTTCAGCAAACTACACAGACGGAACTCCGCTGAATTATCCAGCCAGCCAAAGGGGCCACGAACATTGCTCGACTAAATCAAACGAAAGCGCAGCTAAAACGCTTTTGTGCAATTCGATTATTTACGTTTATTCTTTTTAAATGATATTTCCAGTATGGCCAGTGGGTTCGGTGGCACAAGGAGCAAGAAACCAATTATTTGCCGACGGAGCGGAGTAGCAGTTAGCCAGCCGGAGGGCAAGCAATTTGTAAGGAAATGAAGCGCAAGCAGGGGAACCGGAAAATATGCTGCAGTTGAAAGGCGAAAGGGTAAACAAAAGATCAAATTAATAGCCGCACAGCATCGACATCGAAACCGGGATGGAGGGGGCAAATACAGCTGTGTGTGTTGCAACATCTTGCAGGGGGCAAACATTGAAACAGGTGCCATGGCTGTGGAGCTCCAGCGGATCTCGGCAGTATAAAAAACCGTGGTGACACCTCGAAAGCATCACAACCACTTCCGGCCTTCCAACAGCAACAGTTCACCTTCTAGCCACAATATGTCATCCAAATACACCCTGATCCTTGCCCTGGCGGCCCTCTGCTGCCTGGTGGTCTCCACCGAGGCGGCGGCTCAACGCAGCCGAGTTCTCAGCTCTCGCGGTGGCTCCCAGCTGATCGAGAAGTCCGTGGACAACAAGGTAGACGCCGAGCTGGCAGAGGATGAGGAGAATGACCAGGTGGAAGGACGCAGCGATAACAAGGAGGTGGCCATCGAAAATAAACAGGACTCGGAAACCTCCGCCAACGAGAAGGACACCATCGTGAGGGCCAACAAGGATGATGCCCGTGCCCGCCGCATCGTTCGTGCCGGTCGTCGTCGTGGTGGACGCCGAGGAGGTCGTCGTGGTGCTCGCCGATCCGTGCGCCGTGGAGTACGCCGAAGTGGACGCAGGCGCGGTGGACGACGTGGTCGTGCCGGTGTTCGCCGTCGCATCTCCGTCAAGAGGCGTACCGGTTAGGGCAACAGGCCTATGAAATTTCCCCTACAGATATAAGACTAACTGGCCGATCCACCGATTCGATACACACACAAAAATAAATTACGATTTTAACTAAACCTCGCTATATTGATTTCTTATTTATCTATGCATTGCTGTATTTTAGTATGAGTATCTTGCACGCCTACAACTTAGTCCGATCCCTTTATTTCTCTATGCACCTAAGTGCCAAAACTAGTGACCCATACGTTTTTGCCATAATTCAGAATTTCAGAATTGACTGGATTTACTTCAAAAAATCATGTATTTTAAGATCCAATACCATTCATAAATCATGGCGCTGTAAGAGCCTGTTTAGCTTAGCTTAGTTCAATTTGACAAACAAATGTGTATTAATGATAGGTATAATTAAGACTTAAGCTTAATCTTTTAAAGCAGTACTTAGTGGCACTCGATTACAGAAAAATCATTGCTAAAGACCCTCTACAAGTGCCAGGAAACTTTCAACAGCCTCTGGTTAAAAATTTGCAAAGCGCAGGGCAGTGTCGGCCTGATTCGCATTCTTTCCGATGGCCTGTCGTCCTCTTCGTTCCATCGTTCCATCGTCCTTTGGTCCTGTGCCTTCCCTGCAGCGACGTGACATGTGACAAGAAGTTGCCGCGATGTTGCTGCAACAGCTGCTGTCGCCTGGCGGCTGAAATCCTTGGTCCTTCCTGCTCGTGCGAGCACCCGAAAAATGATGAATGTGCCAATGTTGCTGGGCTGTTGCCACATCCTCTTGGTCTTGGTCCTGGCCGTGCCTTCATACACTCTGCCAAACTTCCTTGGCTTTGTGCTGAAGTCGAGGCGAAAGTTTTGCGGCCGCCGCCAAGTTTGTATCCATTCCGGGATTATTAGACACCATTTGGTGCAACATGAGCAGTCCGTACCCGCGGCGGCACTTGGTGGTAGTGTTAGCTCCAGCTGGAACGCCGCCAGTCCATCAAGACAGAAGTTTGTCCAAGTGTAGGGCTCTGCGAATGTCTAAAACGAGCTAGTCGGGCGTGTCAAATTAAACCACAAATAGTTTGCGGCCTGCAGGAAATTAAACTCATATGAATGGAGCACATCGGCCATGCTGCACATTTTGATGGCACTGAGGTTCATCATCATCCAGGATTCGGAATTCGGGGGACACAGATAATGAGCCATGTATGTTATGGCATTGGCCTTCGGTTATCGTTTAATTAAGGCAGCCCCATTTGAAGTGTGCATTGTGAAATGTTTGGAAGTTTGTAATTTCCTCTGCAGCTGCAACATGTGTCCATATTCATTGGAATTCACTAGGCGACACCGAGTTGTAGACAAAAAGTTTGGCCTTTGTCTGCGTTGGTTCAGCCAACAATAGGCGGCCATTGTTTGGCTTTTAGCAGCAACAAAAGCGTAAGAGCCAAACAATTTAGATAGGACAATAAGCCAACGGAAATTAAATTGGCTGCTCTAGTTTACATAGTAGTTCTCGCCCATCATCTTGAAAAAGAAAGCAAAGAAAGCTGTTTTGAAACGAATTCAAATTCAACTTTCAAACGAATATATGAACAGGCGAAGAAGGTCGGAATGACAGCATAATTATCATTAAATATCCATACACATCCAGTCTTATTTATAATCTGCCTGTGCTTGATGAGCTTGTTTGATAAGCTTAGAAATATGAAAATTAAATTAAAGTGGACCTTGCTCTAGGAAAACACAATGTAGTAGCTTTCGTTTTCATAAGTACTCTTAGCTTAAACCTTGAGAATTTTAAGTTCATCTGAAAACCAATTTATTGATGCTAAAACTCGAAAAGTACACGAAACAACAGCTTGAAACTTGGCATTTCTTGTTCAATGCCATTCAAACCAGCCAAAAAGAAACTGAGAATATTGTTCAATAAATTTAATATTCCAAAATGGTTCCAAGCTCGATTGCCTTCCTTCAATGGGACTTAATACAAATCCGCTGAACAAGATGAAAACAAAAATCTGTTATTCAGATTGACTTGGCACAAAAGCCGACCTCGGCCAAAAAGCATGTATATATACATATATATTCAGTTTTTCTTTGCTTTATTAAATACTTTTTTAAGCCCACTGTTTCTCTTGCTGGGCGACAACAAGAATAACGAGTACATTTTCGCAGTGGGGCAGAAAAATGGAAAATCAGTTGCCGATTTTCAATTGAGCGGCGGAAATGTAACGGAAATAAATTTACATAAATACAATATGGTGCGTGCTTCTCGGCGCCATTTTACTTGCACAACATATACGGGTGTCTATACATGTGTGCGTGAATGGAAATGCACACACACACACGCACAAGCGAAACATATTTGCACCGAAGTGCGTATTGATTTGCGGCATATGCATGTGAAATGTTTTCCTCGTTCCGATACAAAAAATGTGAATTTAAACTTGCGGCTCCATCTTCGTGTGCCCACTTTGTTTAATGGCGGCAAATATTTTCAGCACTTCGTGACCAAATTCCGGAGCGCACTATCTCGAGTGTAAATAGTGCACACACCTGCCTTAACTGCCATTCGAATGGCGTCAGGTACATTCCTATTTTTCGTTTTTTTTTTTTAAGTATTTTACCTATTTTTGGCGGCATGCACCTGGCATTATTTGCATAAGATAAAAGATGAAAAACAGACCTGAGTTAAGGCGCCCGTCCTTCAAGTGCTTACCAGCCAAAAAGCGTCCTCCTAAATGTGTTTTCCATACGAGCCAAGCAAATCCCAGAGTTCTACGAAAAGAAATGGCGGCGATGGCGAACCTGATAAAGACAACACATATTGAAGGGGTCCCCGGAACGAAGGACGAAGGACGAAGGATCTGGGCTTGGAATGGGGCCTCTGTCGCCATTTTGTAGCATTTGCAACTTATATGCATATGTGGTCGAGGAGCAGACGACTCTTGCCCGGAGTACAAGAAAACGAGCAAAACTCCAGACCGCCAACGTGCTCTGAAATTACATTTTCCCTACACGAATATTTCCCACGACCAACTGCACGAAAATGCACCAGATTTTTTCGTTATTCCCACATTCTACACTTAGCCTCTTCTTTCAGAAATCGACGTTCGCCTGCACAGTGGGTGGAAAACCTCCGAAAACAGTAAGAGTTGGCCGTAATAAGGCAATCGGTATAAAATTACCACATCTACAAAATTTTATAATACGATATCATAACATTTTTAGATTAAAAGGGAATATAATATATTATATATAAAATATTTTATACAAATATTTTTTAAAAATAATTAAAATTAAATAAGCCATTCATAAAAGATTAATTCATGGTAAGTATAAAATACAAATTCAAAGGAATAAAATGAGCTTAGAAAGCACACTGTGCCATCTTAGTTTGACTGGCATGGAAATCGGTGTTACCACTCGTAAGTTTGCCGTATTTTACAAATGCATTTGACATAAATTTTAAAAGGCTTAAGTGCCGAAGTCCCCGTCCTAGGCAAGCCGTGGTTCCCTTGATAAGAAGGGTAGAGCGGGACCTTAAATCCCAGTTGGGTGAAGACATAAAATAGAGCAATTACGGAAAAGATCATAAATTATGCAAAGCCCGGCAACAAGTGCGCGATAAGTCCGCAAACCGAGCCTGCTGAGTAAGAGATGTCTGTGTGTGAGTGTGGATGGAAGTTTGTCTGACAATCATCACTCACTCGCAGGCACTCACCACTCATCGCGAATTGAAATCATCCCAAAAGTGTCTGCCACACACTATAGGGTGTATATATATGGGGAAAACAGGAAAAAGCAAGCCAGAGACACTCTAAGAACTGAGTGCACGTCGTTTATCAACTGGCGGTGGAAAATGCATTCCAGCACTGCAAGTTGCCAGCTGTATTCACATTCACATTCAAATTCAGAATCAGATTCAAGCTCGGATTCAGCCACCTCCGCCAGTAGACAGTGGCAGTGACATGCAAATCGAGTTTATCCTCTGCCCAGGCATTAAGTGTGTGCGATTTCTTTCAACGAGACAATTTAACAGAAAAACTCATGCTCGACAGCTTGCCAATGCGAGTGTGTGGTGCAAAAAGGGCGCCATTGCAATTGCAGTTATGAATAAATACAGATAGCAGCTTGAGCCTTGCACACTCGCCGCCGCCTAAGTGCCGCCCCCTGTTTTCCTCCCGTTTTTTAGCTTTTTCTAGGCCTTCAAAACCGTCCACTCCGCCCACTACGCCCACACATTGGCGTGTGGTGAGGCGTGTTATCGTCGGATTTGCATGCTTGCACAAGCCATAAATGTCAATTGGCATGGCAAGCGGGATTTCGAGGAGCCAAGTGGCTGCGAAAGCACATAAGTGCCGAGGAAATGGAAGGCGCCCCAGCTGGCGTCATAATTACAGATGACTATCAACCTAATAGAGCGATAAGAAAATCCACTTAAGGAGTAAATAAAAATAGTGCTCAGTTACCAAGCGACTTCTATCGAAGCTGTGAAAAGCACCGTCGTACTAATAAATAATAATAAAAAATATGTTTTTGAATTTCTGCATCTTCTGGTTGTACTGTAAATTCAAGTACGATTATCAGCTTAATCAAGATAAATCCTATTGACCTACCAACTTCCACTCCAAATTAACCCGGGTATTCAGTTTTCAGCCCATCAGACGTAAGTCTGCATGCGTAAATGGATGGGGCTCCGCTCACTCCAGAAACGCCAGCAGAATGAACTGATTTAAATGCTAAAGTGAACGATTATCATTTCGATTTTGTATAAATAGCACATGAATTATTCATTGCCACTTACTTATGCGCCATCAAAGTGACTTAGGGGCTGCTGGAGCTGCTTACACTCACCCCTGCCCCCAACCAACTCCGCCCTTGAGATGGCAATATGATGATGCCGGGGCTTATTGAACCCGAGTCGGGGAATACAATATTTGTCGCCCACATTAACACCAGCCGTTTAGATATGATAGTTTGATAAAGTCAACTTTTCGAATTAAAGTAATTTCCTGTTGTTGCTGAACTTGTACCCACGCCACACCACACAAACACACACACACATGTAGGAGTGTAGTCCTACTGGCGAGGAGAGGGAAAAGTTGTCACAATTGTTATTCCAACAGATGTA